ATTGGTACTTTTCATATTTTAATTTGTCATTTTAACCACATAAAACACTTAAGCAGACACACATTAGAGGATAAAACTGATTAAAATAAGGTGAATCGTTTACAGGCAATAAGAACATCTTCCTGCATAGTGTTACAGTAATTTAAAGAGCGGCTGATTAAAAATAAAATGCTTAACTGTCATGTTTTTGGTTGCTTTGTGTATTTCTATTCAGCTGAGAAGGTGCAGTAGATTCCCCAGTGATCACTAGTGTAGCGTCCACAGTCCAGCTTCTCCAACCCCACCAAGGCCATGTGATCAGGGGCCAGATGAGGGACTCCACCTCTGATGGCCGGGCGGAGGTAGATTCTGTCAAAGCGGCAGCGAGCGACAAAGGGAAAAGTTTTGTTGTTGTTGGCAGAGGTGTCCCATGTGTAGCGGCAGTGCTCCTGCTTGCCCAGTCGTTCCCACACATCACAGACAGTTGCAGGCAGGCCCACCTTGGTCACCTGAGACGGGTCCAGAGAAAAGAGTTACTGTGATTTCTTGTTACAAGTTTACTGGCTGAGTGGAAGGAGCAGCGTCTGACCTCCGCATCCCTCAGGTTTGTGTCTCCCCCAAACACAACGGTGACATCATCAGGTGCATGTTTAAACCTCCGCTTCACCACATGCAGCTGTTTCAGACGCTCTGCAGTATTTTCCTTACAGCTCTCAAAGTGGGATGTCATCAGGCACAGCTTCTGACCGTTGACGATCACCTGATTTTTGGAAACGAAAATGTTCCTGAGCATCACTTATGAACACAAAAAAATATCAGAGATGATTTTGCACACACCTGAGCGACCAGCAGGTTCCTCATCATCTTAGTGGTGGGATAAGCTACTATCTCACTCTCCACAAGTTTGACTCGTGACTTTTTCAGCAACATCCCTGTGAAGCAACCGTTCCGACCACCTGATCAACACAAAAGGAAGAGAAAGATGGAGACTTTTAAGCTTTGGTTCCCCTTCAAATCAAATCCTTAGTCAATGATTTGTTTATTCTTTGAGTATTAGTTCCTAGCTTTTCTGAGTTTTGTTATCCATGTTTCTAGTTCCCCGGTTGATCCTTTTGCCTCTCCAGTCTGTTGTGTGTTTCCATGTCTTTTTATTCCCAGTCTCAGTTTTTAGTTCATGTGCCTTAGTCTGTGTCTCAGTGTGTGTGTTACTTCCTGGATTCTTTTGTCTTGTGTGTGTTGTTCAGTCTGTCTCGTTAGTCAGATTTTGTTCACCCATGTTCCCTGGTGTGTCCTTTCTCCTTGATTATCTCATGTGCACTTAAGCCCTTAGAGTTTGTTCAAGTTTTACTCTGCCTTATCTTTTGTAAAGGTTGCCTTTTGCCAGCTAATAAAGCTCTGCTTTGAGTTTAGTTTGTCTGGCAAGTCCTTAATTTGGGTCCACAAACCGTTTGCCACACAGCTGTCCCACAACAGTAATAAGCATGTAGTCTCAGTACAAAGTTTTATAGTCAGGTTTTATAAAAACAGTGAAGGAAGAACACAGATGTTACTAATATTGACTAAAGTCCTTAACAGCTCTCTTCATGTGTTACATGAAGTCAAAGCAAAGCAGCTCAGCTGCATTCAGCCATTAACCACCATTTGATCATTCATACCTGTGCCTTTCCTACCTGTATCTATCTGACATACTGTACCTTCAATCATCATATAGTTGACGAGCTGTTCCTTCAAGAACTGGACATAATGGGGAACGAGCTCCTGCAGGAACACCACATCAGGGTTGTGTCTGTATTTACAGAGATTTACTTTAATAATATTAAATGTCACATATGTGCAGCCTTTAGGAAAATGTAGCATTTCCAACAACATTTTCTCCAAACAATGCCTAAAAGTGTGAAAAGTGTAACAGGTACTTACAAGTTTAAATATTTAAACAGGCCTCTGGCACGCTCTGGACGTTTTTCGAAATCAAGCCCGTCCACATTCCAGGTGATCAGGGACAGTTTAAAATCCTCTTTTTCTGAGGGTTTCTGTGTAGCAGCAGGACTGTCAGCAGGACTGTCTACAGCCAAATCCATCCTGGAGGTTTTTCACAGAGTCAGTCAGCTAAAATACAAAGAGTCATATGTAAACTTAACCATACATAGAAGAGCTGACAGCAGACTTACCAGTCATCTGGAGTAGTATTTTCACCACTGTGTGTTTCAGAGGCACTCTCCATGTCTACTTCAACAAGTCAGTTCTCTTTCTGAAATAAAGGTCACAGGAAGATTATGCACCGTTTAAGTCATAAAACACACACACACACACACACACGCACACACACACAGACACACACACACACAGAGACACACACACACACACACTTAAACAGGGCTTGGTTGCCAATATACCCAGGCAGTTTCCCAGTATGTGTATATGACTTTTTTCGTGTCCTTGGTTTCAACCCAAATATGGTTGAAAGTATGTTTACATGTTCTAGCTCCAACCATTCTATCAAGGTTTAATATTTTTTATACCAACCTTAAATAAACACACGTACAGAGAAAGGCCAATGAACAGACAAAGCAGTGAAAGCAACAACAGAGGTTCAGAAAGTATCACGATATGTAAATGTAAGCAAGTCATGAGAGCTTACTTTTCCAAAAGGTTTTGGCTTTGAAATAGCTACATTTATGAATTAAAAACTTTATCAGAAAAATGTAAAAAAATTAACAGAAAAGGGGAAGAAAAAGTTTCTGTCCTTAATAAAAATTGTCAAATATTATTTCCATTAATGTCAGTGAGAGCGTTCAAAAATTTTGATTCTGTACATCTGGACGTAACGTTTTCAGTGGGAGAAACGTTTCGTCACTCATCCAAGTGACTTCTTCAGTCTCAGCTGACTGCAGTTTTCCCCAATCTTATAAACAGTACATTTGCATAATGACTGAAACCAGCCCACTGAAGGAACAATGGACTGGGAGGTCAGTTCCTTAATCATAATTATGCAAATTCTCATGACCATTGATCAACAACCACTGACCAAAACCCACTGATCAAAGACCACTGATCAATGGCCATGAGTACCATTCACACAGAGTTGGGGAATGGCTGCAATCACAGCATTGTAAGATGGCGAAAGATGTACCCTTAGGCCCCCTCCTCGATTCAGAGATGGTCTTCCCCTTTTCACGTAAATGGCCTCCTTGACTCTGTGCTCAAACCAGCGTTCCTTCCTGTCCAGGATGTGAACAGCCTCATCCTTGAAAGAGTGTCCACTGGCCTGTAGGTGTAAATAGACTGCAGAGTCCTGGCCTGACAAGGTAGCTCTTCTGTGTTGTGCCATCCGCTTCACCACAGGTTGTTTGATTTCCCCGATGTATAAATCCTGGCAATCCTCCTGGCACTTAACAGCGTACACTATGTTACTCTGTTTGTGTCGGGGGACCCGATCCTTGTGCACCAATATTTTCACATCGTGTTTTGGGGTTTAAAAGCCACAGAGACTCGGTGTTTAGAAAAAATGTGTCTCAATTGTTCCGATACTCCTGACACATATGGGATCACTACAGGTTTTCGCTTGGGCAGCGGTTGTCCTTCTCTCCTGGATCGGCCGGAGCTTTCTTTAGGTGCTTTCCCAGCTTTGACAAAAGTCCAGCTGGGATAACCACATTTACTCAGGGCCTTCTGGATGTGCTGTTTTTCTTCTTCCCTGGCTGCTGTGTCTGTGGGGATGGTGTTCGCTCTGTGTTGTAGCATCCTGATGACACCCAGTTTATGCTCCAGTGGATGATGAGAGTCAAACCTTAAATACTGATCCGTATGCGTAGGTTTGCAATACACATCAACTTTTAAATATTCCCTGTTACTGATGGAAATCTCACGGTCAAAGAAGGCAAACCTGTCACTTTTCATATCCTCCCTGGTGAGTTTCATATGTTGGTTCACTGAGTTAATGTGATCCGTGAATTGTGGTACGTCCTGGGATTTGATTTTCACCCAGGTGTCATCCACATATCTGAACCAGTGACTTAGTGGTGTTCCAGGGTAGGATATCAAAGCCCTCTTTTACGCTTCTACCATGTACAAATTAGCCACAATGGGTGAAACTGGGGAATCCATGGCACACCCATGTTTCTGCCTGTAATACTGCAATTTTATGTGAAATAGGTGAATTAAGACACAGTTCCAAAAGCAAACACAATTGGTTGATGCAGAGAGTGTTCCTGTTGTTGAGGTTGGAATCATCCTGTAATCTCTTACAAACTACCTCCAACGCTGGTGACTGGAACACAAGTGAAGAGAGATGTAACATCGTACAAGACCATGGTTTCATCTGCCTCCATAATGACATCTCTCACCTTCTCAACAAAATCCAAGGTGTTTTGGATGTGGTGTTCAGAGCTGCCTATCAACGGTTGAGGATTGAAGCCAGAAACTTAGAGATGTTATAGGTGACCGAGTTCGTCATACAGACAGCTGGTCTGGGTAGAGGGGTCCAGGAGGAGAATGATTGAATAACAAGTCCAAAAGGCATTTTGAAAGTAAAGCACATTTATTTTTTCACCAGACCAGAAGACAAACACTTCTGGCCAGCACCCTCCACAGACAGATTCCAACACAACTCAGCCCCAACAAGACCAGCACCACACTAAGACCACATGTGCTTAAATACTATTGGACTACACCATAAGAAATTTCAAAGGTTGTTCTATCTCCATATTTACAAACCCTCTAATGCCCAATCCCCATTCTGTACGTGTGGATATAAATTCCAGGTAGACATTAATATTACATTTGAATCATGTTGTTGCATTAATTCTTTGGTTGCTTTCAGGCCATTAAATACCCTCCGAACTACAGCTGAAAGAATAAAAACTAAAACTGTGTTATGCAAATTTAAACATGAATAGGCTGCTTGATTATAACTCTTTAGATTCTCTGTGCCTGAATGTCAGGGTTCTGTTTATAAGTTTGTTAACTTAAACAACTGGCAAGTTTTCCGACTCCTCTTCCTGGCAT